AAGCAGTTTATTGAAAAACACACAGTTCTTGCTAGAGCGGGTGGCTAGCAAAGCCGGCACAGCCCCCAAAATAGATTTCAACAGCGTTTTATTCCCTCGGCCCGAATCCCTCTCCCTTGCAATCCCCTTTGACCAGAACCACAAAGTTCAACAATCTTTCCAGAACACTGAGTTTCCCCCCGTGTGAATCCCCTACCCGTGTCCTACCCGTGTTAGCAGGGTGTGCGTGCAGTTTTGCCTAGCCCACAGGCCCTGTTCTCTAGGGACCCGTCTGGTTTTCTTTGAACCCATTCTGCATAGGCATCGGCACTTAGTTTCATTATTAGAATAGAATGACAGAGATGGAAGGGACCTTGGAGGTCATCTAGTCCAACCCCCTGCTCAGGCAGGAAATCCTACGCCATTTCGGACAAATGGCTGTCCAGTCTCTTCTTTAAAACTTCCAGTGTTGGAGCATTCTGGAGGGAAGTTCTGGAGGGAAGTTGTTCCACTGATTCATTGTTCTCACTGTCAGGAAGATTCTCCTTAGTTCTCAGTTGCTTCTCTCCTTGATAGGTTTCCATCTGTTGCTTCTTGTCAGGAAGAATAGAATAGAATAGAATAGAATAGAATAGAATAGAATAGAATAGAGCTGGAAGGGACCTTGGAGGTCTTCTAGTCTAACCCCCTGATCAGGCAAGAAACCCTATACCACTTCACACAAATGGCTGTCCAATCTCTTCTTAAAAACCTCCAGTATTGGAGCATTCACAGCTTCTGGAGGCAGGTTGTTCCACTGGTTAATTGTTCTCACTGTCAGGAAGTTTCTGCTTAGTTCCAGGTTGCTTCTCTCCTGCCCTCAGGTGCTTTGGAATAGAATAGAATAGAATAGAAATAGAATAGAATAGAATAGAATAGAATAGAATAGAATAGAATAGAATAGAATAGAATAGAATAGAATAAGGAATGGAAGAATAGAATAGAATAGAATAGAATAGAATAGAATAGAATAGAATAGAATAGAATAGAATAGAGCTGGAAGGGACCTTGGAGGTCATCGAATCCAACCCCCTGCTCAGGCAGGAAACCCTATACCATTTCAGACAAATGGCTGTCCAGTCTTTTCTTTAAAACTTCCAGTGTTGGAGCATTCACCGCTTCTGGAGGCAGGTTGTTCCACTGGTTAATTGTTCTCACTGTCAGGAAGTTTCTCCTTAGTTCCAGGTTGCTTTTTTCCTTGATTAGTTTCCATCCATTGCTTCTTGTCCTATCTTCAGGTGCTTTGGAGAATTATGTAGCCAAGCTCTTGTAGTTAAAACTCTCAGCTAACTTGCTTTAGGACTGCAGATACTTCCTGCCTTTTTCTCTTAATTCTAAGCCCTATTGCATTTCTTACTATTGGTGGTCCCTAAAAATGTATGATACCTGCAAAAGCAACATTTAGCTATTATTGCTTTTCCTACAGGGGGCAGTGGGAGGGGGCATCTGACGGACAGGTATGGGGTGGAAGGCCCTGGAGGGCATGGCAGGGTGGTCTTCGCTCAAAGGGGACCCTCGAGGACTGACGATGCACTCAAGGACAATTAGGGAGGATTGGAGGTCCTGAACCAGCCCCGCTGGAGGGCTTTGATCAACCAACTACGATGATCAAAGGCCTGGAGACTAAAACATAAGAAGAACGGCTGTGGGACTTGGGTTTGGCTAGTCTAAAGAAAGGAAGAAATAGGGGAGACATGATAGCAGCGTTCCAGTATCTGAGGGGCTGCCACAAAGACGAGGGGGTCATGTTATTCTCCAAAGCACCAGAGGGCAGGACAAGAAACAATGGTTGGAAATCATTGACATCCAGTTTTGGTCACCACGATGTAAAAGAGATGTTGAGACTCTAGAAAGAGTGCAGAGAAGAGCAACAAAGATGATTAGAGGACTGGAGGCTAAAACATATAAGGAACGGTTGCTGGAATTGGGTCTGTCTAGTTTAACGAAGGGAAGGACGAGGGGAGACATGATAGCAGTGTTCCAGTATCTCAGGGGCTGCCCCAAAGAAGAGGGAGTCAAGCTATCCTCCAAAGCACTGAAAGGCAGGACAAGAAGCAACAGATGGAAACTCATCAAGGAGAGAAGCAACCGAGAACTAAGGAGAAACTTCCTGACAGTGAGCACAATTAACCAGTGGAACTACCTGCCTCCAAAAGCGGTGAATGCTCCAACACTGGACGTTTTTAAGAAGAGACTGGACAGCCATTTGTCTGAAATGGTATAGAGTCTCCTGCCTGAGCAGGGGGTCAGACTAGATGACCTCCAAGGTCCCTTCCGACTTTATTATTATTATTAAACTGACCAAAGAGAGAAGCAACCTGGAATTAAGGAGAAACTTCCTGACAGTGAGGACAATTAACCAGTGGAACAGCTTGCCACCAGAAGTTGTGGGTGCTCCATCACTGAGGTTTTTAAGAAAAGACCGGACATTCACCTGTCTGAGACGGTATAGGTTCTCCTGCTTGAGCAGGGGGCTGGACTAGAAGACCTCCAAGGTCCCTTCCAGATTCTATTCAATTCCACTTAGAGCTGGTTCATGGGTGGGCAGCAGCCCCCCCCCCTTTCTCGGCTGCTGTGTCTCTGCTTCAAAATGGTGAGGTGCCCTCCTGACCAAGCTTTTCGCACGCACGCACGCACAATTGCACATCCCCAAGACAGAATTGTGCAGCTGCTTTTTGTGATTTGATGCCTAAGGCGCACACATCCTGGCTCGATGCACCCCCCCCCCCAGGCTTTGAAGAGAAAGCCTGGAGGACAAAAAGCAGCATCGCACCACTGCAACACAGAGTTTGTGGGTTTGCTAGACGTGTTGCGATGCGGCAGGCTGGTGAGGAAAGGGTGACGTGTGGATGTGACTTGTTCCTGGAATAAGCCTGTGACTCAAAGGGGGTTAGCTCAGGTCAGTGACTCAGACAAAGACGCAACAGACAATCCCATCTTGGAGAAGCCTCTTTAAAAGTAGTCCTCAAGTTACGACTGGTTTCTTCCTATTGCCTTCCTTCTTTCTGTTAGTTTGATGGATCTATCACTGGAGGTTTTAAAGAAAAGACTGGACATTCACCTGTCTGAGACGGTATAGGATAGGTTCTCCTGCTTGAGCAGGGGGCTGGACTAGAAGACCTCCAAGGTCCCTTCCAGATTCTATTCTATTCCACTTAGAGCTGGTTCATGGGTGGGGAGCAGCCCCCCCCCTTTCTCGGCTGCTGTGTCTCTGGTTCAAAATGGCGAGGTGCCATCCTGACCAAGCTTTTCACACGCACGCACACATGCACGCACAATTGCACATCCCCAAGACGGAATTGTGCAGCCGCTTACAACTCTGATTGGAAGTTCTGACTCTCTCTCTCTCTCTCTCTCTCTCTCTCTCTCTCTCTCTCTCTGTGTCTCTTTCTCTCTCTCTCTGTCTCTTTCTTTCTCTCTTTCTCTCTCTGTCTCTCTCTTTCTTTTTCTCTCTCTCTCTCTCTGTCTTTGTCTCTCTTTCTCTTTCTCTCTGTCTATTTGTCTGTCTCTCTTTCTCATTCAAAGTACCTCAAAACAAGTAACATCAAAAACTTTGGAGACTTTGGAAAAAGTGCAGAGAAGAGCAACTAAGATGATTAATGTCCTAGAGCAGTGATGGCGAACCTTTTAGAGACCGAGTGCCCAAACTGCAACCCAAAACCCACTTATGTATCGCCGGGGGGGGGGCGGGGGTGTGTGGCCCACTCGGCGGGTGCAGCTACAGTGGGCTTGGCAGACTGGGTGGGCGTGGCCACTGGATGGGTGTGGCTGCAGTAGTCATGGCCGATTGGGTGGGCGTGGCTGGGGTGGGCGTGGCCACCTCGATGTTGCTTATGGGGAGGGACACCTGTGGGAGCCGGGCAGGATTGGGGGAGATCCAGGGGGTGTCTCTGGCAGGCGGGATGGTGGGCTCCCCAATGGCGGCTCCGGGCTGGCTGGCCTTAGGCCAGTGATGGCGAACTTTTAGAGATCACGTGTGCGATGGCGCGTGCCCACAGAGAGGGCTCCGCGTGCCGCCTCTGGCACGCGTGCCATAGGTTCCCCACCACTGGCTTAGAGACTAAAACATACGAAGAACAGTTGCAAGATTTGGGTTTGACCAGTCCTACAGAAAAGAAGGACTAAGGGGGACAGGATAGCAGTCTTCCAGTATTTGAGGGGCTGCCCCAAAGAAGAGGGAGTCAAGCTCTTCTCCAAAGCGCCTGAAGGCAGAACAAGAAGCAACGGATGGAAACTAAGCAAGGAGAGAAGCAACCTGGAACTAAGGAGAAACTTCCTGACAGTGAGGACAATTAACCAATGGAAGAGCCTGCCACCAGAAGTTGTGGGTGCTCCATCATCGGAGGTTTTTAAGAAGAGACTGGACAGCCACCTCAATTCAAAATCATTGTTCTATGATGGATCCTTTCACCCAATTGAAGACTACAAACAATCAAACAGACATGAGAGTTTTAAGAGTATATAGCTATTACAGGTTGTCCTTGACTTACAGCCATTCATTTAGTAGTAGTAGTAATAGTAGCAGCAGCAGCAGCAGCAGCAGCAGCAACAACAACAACAATAATAATAATAGAGTTGGAAGGGACCTTGGAGGTCATCTAGTCCAGCCCCCTGCTCAGGCAGGAAAACCTACCCCATTTCAGACAAATGGCTGTCCAGTCTCTTCTTAAAAACTTCCAGTGTTGGAGCATTCACTGCTTCTGGAGGCAGGTCGTTCCACTGGTTAATTGTTCTAACTGTCAGGAAGTTTCTCCTTAGTTCTAGGTTGCTTCTCTCCTTGATCAGTTTCCATCCGTTGCTTCTTGTCCTGCCTTCAGGCGCTTTGGAGAATAGCTTGACTCCCTCTTCTTTGGGGCAGCCCCTGAGATATTGGAAGACTGCTATCATGTCCCCCCTCGTCCTTCTCTTCATTAAACTTCATTCAATTAATTAAGGATTAAATTGAAACGATTTACTGAAACGAAGCCCTTCTCTTTCCCTAGGCTCCTGGAGAGAGTGAATACTCCGATCCCTTTGATGCTCACCGGGAACCGAAAGGGGACGCCGAAGAGGACGCTGGTCTGGAAAACAACGGTTACATGGAGCCCTACGATGCCCAGAAGATGGTGGCTGGTGAGTGAAGGCAAATTAGGATAGGATAGGATAGGATAGGATAGGATAGGATATAAGTCATAAGTTGAGGACCCTCTGTAGGATGGATTCTTCGAACAGTCACTAAATGAATAGTCATAAGCCGAGGACCCTCTGTAGGATGGATCCTTCGAACAGTTACTAAATGAATAGTCATAAGCCGAGGACCCTCTGTATGATGGCATCCTTCAAATGGTCACTAAATGAATAGTCGTAAGCCGAGGACCCTCTGTAGGATGGATCCTTCGAACAGTCACTAAATGAATAGTCATAAGCCGAGGACCCTCTGTAGGATGGATCCTTCGAACAGTCACTAAATGAATAGTCATAAGCCGAGGACCCTCTGTAGGATGGATCCTTCGAACAGTCACTAAATGAATAGTCGTAAGCTGAGGACCCTCTGTAGGATGGCATCCTTCAAATGGTCACTAAATGAATAGTCGTAAGCTGAGGACCCTCTGTAGGATGGCATCGTTCAAATGGTCACTAAATGAATAGTCGTAAGCCGAGGACCCTCTGTAGGATGGATCCTTCGAACAGTCACTAAATGAATAGTCATAAGCCGAGGACCCTCTGTATGATGGCATCCTTCAAATGGTCACTAAATGAATAGTCGTAAGCCGAGGACCCTCTATAGGATGGCATCCTTTGAACAGTCACTAACCAAATGGTCGTAAGCCAAAGACCCTCTGTAGGATGGATCCTTCAAACGGTCACTAAATGAATAGTCATAAGCCGAGGACCCTCTGTAGGATGGCATCCTTCAAATGGTCACTAAATGAATAGTCGTAAGCCGAGGACCCTCTGTATGATGGGATCCATCCAACTGCCGCTAAACAGAGGGTGGTAAGTCGAGGTCTCCTTGTGTGATGGGGTCCTTTGAGTGGGCGCTAAACAAACGGTCGTAAGTTGAGGACTCCCTTGTATGATGATCCTTCAAACAGTCACCAACCAAATGGTTGTAAGTTGAGGACCCCCTGTATGATGGGATCCTTCGAACAGTCACTAACCAAATAGTCATAAGTCGAGGATCCCCTGTAGGATGGGATCCTTCAAATGGTCGCTAAATGAATGGTCATAAATCCGAGGACCATTGTTCGATGGGATCCTTCGAACGGTCACTAAATGAATAGTCACAAGCCGAGGTCTCCCTGTATGATGGGATCCATCGAACGGCCGCTAAACAGAGGGTGGCAAGTCAAGGACCCCCTTTGTAGGATGGGATCCTTTGAGCGGTCGCTAAACAAAACGGTCGTAAGTCGAGGACCCCCTTGTATGACGAGATCCTTAAGTGGCAGTTCAAAGTTTCCCTCCGGGTTTGCAGACCTCCAGCGCAAAAACGACTGGGACGAGCAGCGGGGGAAGAAATCCCGGATCGGGCTGCAACTTTACGACACCCCCTACGAGGAGGAGAAGGCAACCGAGGCGGAGGACCCCGAGGCCGGGAAGAGCGCCCAGAAGCCCCCCAAGAGCCGGCTGCCCCAGGAGGACGAGCGCCCGGCCGATGAATACGACCAGCCCTGGGAGTGGAAAAAGAACCACATTTCCCGCGCATTTGCTGGTGAGTAGGCAACCCAGCGGGGGGAAAAAAACCACAATTGCTGTGACTTCAAAGAAATGCTCAGATTTGTGGGGTGGGGGTGGAGGGAAGCCTTGAAACTTAGCCAGAGTTTAAAAAACGAGCCGGTTGGGTGAAAATGAGCCTCTGGGTCTTTTGCTTTGTGGAATGCAGCGGCGGCGGCTAAGTTTCTAGTCCTCATGGATTTTTCTTCCAGGGAAACTCTTTTGCGTTTAAGCAGGAATCGGTTGTAACATGCAGTCTGTCTCCCCGCCCCCAAAATATCAGACGATCTAGATTAGAACATCGTTGTCCAAGGTTAGCCACTTTTAAGACTTGTGGACTTCAACTCCCAGAATTCCCCAGCCAGCATGGCTGGCTGGGGAATTCTGGGAGTTGAAGTCCACAGGTCCTAAAGTGGCCAAGGTTGGACATCCCTACCCTAGAAAAAAAAACCACCCAGAAAGGAGCTGGAGTGTAAAATCCACCTTCAAGAAGACCGCTCTTAAAAATAAACATGCAATCTTCTAGTCCTCCTGCTTCATCCTTTTGAAAGTGTGTATTCCTCCCTACCCTAGTGGGCATCTTTGTAAAACAGGGGAAGAGATTTAAACTGCTGCAGCAGGAAAAGTTAGCTTTGGTCTTGTGCCACCTGCAGTAAAATTAAGCTAAAATACTTTTTTAAAAAAACAACAACCCTTTTTTAGAAAATTGCAGAGATATATATATATATATATATATATATATATTTGCAATTAAAAATATAGATGCTGACAGGTTCTTGGTAAAGTCTTAGACCATCAGGAAATGCCTCCAGAAGTTGTGAATGCTCCAACACTGGATATTTTTTAGAAAAGATTTGTCTGAAATGGTATAGGGTTTCCTGCCTGAGCAGGGGGCTGGACTAGAAGATCTCCAACGTCCCTTCCAACTCTGTTATTCTCTTCTCTTCTCTTCTCTTCTCTTCTCTTCTATTCTCTTCTATTCTATTCTATTCTATTCTATTCATTTTCTGTATTCTGTATTCTGTATTCTATTCTATTCTATTCTATTCTATTCTATTCATTTTCTGTATTCTGTATTCTATTCTATTCTATTCTATTCTATTCTATTCTATTCTATTCTATTCTATTCTATTCATTTTCTGTATTCTGTATTCTATTCTATTCTATTCTATTCTAAAACCATTCCTTTTTTCCTCATCATTTTAATCAAGTAAGTAACGCTTTGGAACTATTGGTAATTTCTTTACAATTAAACCAGTGTTTCTCAAGCTTTAAGACAGTGGTGGCGAACCTATGGCACGGATGCCAGAGGCGGCACTCAGAGCCCTCTCTGTGGGCACGCGCACCGTTGTCCCAGTCCCAGGCCTTCAGCTGGGTTTTATAAAACCTTTTCGCTTTAGGCCTCTGCCGCCGTGTGCAAAAAAATCCAGGTTCAGTCAATCAATCAATTTTAACTTCTTGTGGGGAAAAAAAAAGATCTTGCAAAGTTGGAATTGATTGATTGAACTTTTTAGTCCCACCCAGTCTGCCGTTACCACCGCAGCCACGCCCACCCAATGGGCCACACCCACCCGGCACCCGATGATGCATAAGTGGGTTTTGGGTTGCAGTTTGGGCACTCGGTCTCTAAAAGGTTCGCCATCACTGGACTAGAAGATCTCCAAGGTCCCTTCCAACTCTGTTATTCTATTCTATTCTATTCTATTCTATTCTATTCTATTCTATTCTATTCTATTCTATTCATTTTCTGTATTCTGTAATCTGTATTCTGTATTCTGTATTCTGTTCTATTGTATTCATTTTCTGTATTCTGTAATTTGTATTCTATTCTATTCTATTCTATTCATTTTCTGTATTCTATTCTATTCTATTCTATTCTATTCTATTCTATTCTATTCTATTCTATTCTATTCTATTCTAAAATCATTCCTTTTTTCCTCATCATTTTAATCAAATAAGTAACGCTCTGGAACTATTGGTAATTTCTTTACAACTAAACCAGTGTTTCTCAAGCTTTAAAACCTGTGGACTTGGGGAATTTTGGGAATTGAAGTCCTCACGGGATGGAGCCACCCCCTCTGGGCCAGTGGAGATGGCCAGCAGCAGGCAAAACCGGATGAACAAAAATGCCACAAGCTGCGTACCCCTTAAAAAGCGAGTCTTAAAACAGTGTTCCCCAATCTTTTGGGATTGGCAGCCTGGTGCTGGGGGGGAAAAGAGGGGATGGTTTTCTGCGAGGGGCAGGGGCTCACGCCACCCGGTTGCGAATAGGTCACAGCCACAGGTTGGGGACCCCTGTCTTAAAGGATGCTAAGAAATATGGCATTGCTGATTCCTGGTGTGGCTGCAAAATACGTTGAGCTGTGTGACCACGGTGCAATTGCGAGGGACACTGCAGACGAAGGAGGGAACAAAAGACGGCCTTGTTTTATCCGGAAGCAGCTGAAACTTTGCTAAATGGGCATAAAGGGAAAGTGGTCAGAT